CAGACTATTGGTGCTGCTGGTCCTGGCGAGGCTGGTAGCAAACCCTATCTGCCTCTACGGGATTCTGACGGACAGGATTTGGAGATGGAGGACGCAGATATTGAGGCCTTGGATGACTCTGAATTGGATGAAGGTCTAGATGTGCAGGGTCCCCGCACGGGCTACTTCTCTCCCAGCGTCAGTGACTCCCTTCATCGGATCAACCTTTTGTTTGCACAGGCAAGTCGATTTTTCTTCCAACAAATGTGAACAGTTTGTCCTCGGTGTCTAAAACGGTATCGTTTCTCCGAGTTGCAGTTTTTCCACAATATAAGCGCAAACCTTTATCTGCTGACCTTTCAAAGACTAACAATTAATGCGTACACATTTTGTCTATGTTACTTCCATGTTGACGATTTGCATATCACAGCTACGTTTTCATTTGCCTATCCGTGAATAAACTAGGATCAAAATTCCCTAATTTATTGAAAAAATGCTCGTGCACTGAAGATTTTCAAGGACAAAATACGTAAACAAACAGTACAGTCGAGCACTGGAAATTACTTTACATCAGTAGTACCGGGGGTATACGAGGCTGTTTTGTCCTTTACAAAAAAAGTGTTTTTAATCAGATCTCAGTCGCTTCTCGTTTCTGTACTTTGCGTTCAGAATGTGCCAGAATGTTACGAAACGTATACCTATCTATGAATAAACTAGCATCAACATTCTTTAATTTATTGGTAAAAAATGTCATGCACTGAAATTATTCAAGGACATAAAACGTAAACAAGCAGTACATTCGAGCGCTGGAAATTACTCTACGTCACTGGTACCGGGGGTGTACGAGGCTGTTTTGTCTCTTACAAAAAATACTTTTTAGCAAGGCCTCAGTTGTTTCTCTTTTCTGTACTTTGCGTCCCAATGCGTCGGAATGTTACGGAACTTATACTACAGGAAGAGCAGTAAACATAGCAACTTACAGCACGAACACTCATGCTGGGGTTTGCAATACGTTAAATTTTCTTTTGTATCCCTAAAGGTCGACATTGAGGTCGCATGTACATCGTATTTATTAAACGCTAAGGGCAAGCTGACATGTGCCAGTAGCATAACTTTTTAAGCCGATCAAATAAGCTACGTCTGAATTCCAAGTGTAGACTGGTCATACGGTTCGTTTGCAACTTTTAATAACTGCGCATACAAAGTAAATTGCGGGCCACCCAAAATATCAAATGCAAGTTAAATCATTCGTAGTTCTGCCACTGATAATTATTACCGACTGTTCTTCTCCCCCTTCCCCCTGTCAGCTGCGACAACGGCACCCAGGACGACT